ACAGGTGTCACTTGAAATGTTTGCAATTTAAATGGGTTACATATTTTTGTGGTTTTTAAAAAAGACTTGAGAGAAAACAATTACATCTTTTAAAGCAGTCTTTAATCTGAAGAATAACTTGGAGTCTTTTTATAGCTTTAGGAAGTGTTTTGGGCATTTATGAGAGGAAAAAAAAGTTGATTTTCATTTACATGTGCATTTTTGAAGCTTTGTACATTAGTGATTAAAATGTCAGTGACAAAAAGGAAATTAAAGTGAATTTGACACTGAACAAGGACAGAAACTCTAGTCAAAAGTGGAAGTCAGCAGACTACAAAATGAAAAACAAAAAAACATGACTGATCATGATTTGCCCAAGAAGCGGAGAGGAGAAACAAAAGATCTTTCTGCTAATTTTAAGCCCCACTAATCTAATTCTGAACATTTAGAAATACTTTATTGGCATTGCATTTGAAATGAGTGTTCTAATCTATCCAAGTTTTTAAAAAGTAATCCATAATGTTATCAAGAATCTAAATTATTCTTTCTCTAAGATAAATGTTTCAAGTCTGTTTATCCTGAATTATTGTTTAATGTATCCAGAAGCACTTGGTTAAATACATTCACATGTTCTAAAACTATTAATATAAAAGTTTTTCAGCTCATCTTGGTAATCTTTTCTTGTATAATATTTAGATTATAAAATGCCTATCCTTTAATTTCTACCATAGTAATTTTCTTATAATATTTAATAAAAACCAGACATCCTCACATTGTCAGCTAACAGAAGACAGCATGATTTCTCCATCTTTTCTGGCTTCTCTTTTTAGGACCAGGCAGTAGACTAAATGAGTAGAGTGAATGCTTATAGGGTGCTTAAGCCTGAGGAGATAGCTGTAGACAGAAGACAAAGGAAAGCCACCTTCCAGAAGCTCAAATACTTAAGAAAGCTTTTCAGTGGAAAGTGTTCATTGTTATGGAGCTAAAGGCAAACACTTTGAATATTAGATTTTGATATATTTTTGTAGATTCATATTCAACCATTGGAAATCTGTGATAAGATAGCTACTCTTATTATGCATACAGGCATGTGTCCAGATTCTGGTCTCCATGCCACCATTTCCATGGGCCCCTGCAGCTTACCGACCTCCATGTGCCTGCAGGAATTCACCATAAAAATTAGAGCTAAACATTCTGCATGGAGCACTGGGTGTTATGCACAAACAATGAATCATGGAACACTTCATCTAAAACTAATGATGTAATGTATGGGGATTAACATAAGAATAAAAAAATAAATTAAAAAAAATTAGAGCTAAAATGAAATTTGGTGGATAAGTGTGAAGGGAATGTTTTTTATGAGGAAAAAAAAGAGATAAGGCTAATTGAATTTCTTTCACATTTTCCTAAAGGGCTTTTCACTTCATTCTGAGACAATCTCATTTTGCCAAGGAGATAATGCCCTTCTGACAGATAAAATCATAATTAGAACTTGGTTCACAGAGACAATAGGCAAGATTTAACTGAAATATAAATTTGTTTCACACTGTGTTGTATTCCTGTAGGATAATTAGTCCTAATATAAAATTAGTCATAGAAAGCACATTATGTTATTATCAGCACATCTAAGTAACTAAAAGGTCAAGTAAGTGATTACTCCGTATCACTCTAGCTCAGTGTCTTTTTACTTTATGCAAACTATTAGCAGGTCTAAAGTAAATAATTACACTGTCTGTCATTTAGGAAACAGAATATATTTGGAACCAAATCTAAAATGCTCATTTTTGAGACAGAAATGGTAAATAATTCAGAAATAAAATTTAACATTTATTGTCCATAATTAATATACTGTCTCTTGAAACTGCTTCTCTCCTTTCTATTTTTTTGATAGCAATATTTCAGGTTATTTAAGAATTCACAAAATAACTTAAAACTTGAACCAAGTCCAACATACATACCATTATGCAGATACCAAGTCACCTACTACTATGAAATGATTACAATAGTTTCACATGCCCATTTGTCTTGGCACTGATTTCATGATGAAAGTACATTTGACCTTTAGGTCCTACCTCTGCAGAGAACTGATTTGGGCCCAATTAATTGTAATTGTTCCCTCCAGTACCTCAGGATCTATGTTTATTAAAATACTAAAGAAGGAGGAGTATTATAAGTGCCTATATGCAGCCAATTGACTTAAGACTTTAAAATAAGTAGTCTTCAATTTTTTGCTTGCCTACTCCAAAAAAATTTGAAACCTTATACTTCATTCATATGTTTTAAAACTGACTTCTAAAGTTTCTTATCATTTAAATTGTTGTAAAGGATGTGAATTCTGGCTTTGATGTACATGGCTTTAAATATATTTTCATCAATACTTTGGAGCTATAGATAACCCCATTAATGGGGAATGATCACTATATAATTTAGAAGTCTGTAGTCATTGTTAAACCAACCAGCTTGACTGTCAGAAAAAGTCTAAGGTCATTTTTCTGTTCAAGTAAAAGTGTTAGTAGGTGTTCCCATGACAATCAGCTCACTTCTGAAATCTAATTTAAAATAGAGAGCTAAGACCACTGGTTTGTAGCCATGATGAAATAAGGCCTGCCACCATCAATACAAATAACCAGTTTTCTCACCCTTCATACGTGCCTTGAAGCATTTTACACCCGGGTATCATACAGAGACTAGGGATTAGTGGAAACCTTTCTTTTGTAAAGCAGAAGGATATAAAATGGGAATGGGGACAGGAGAATTCCAGGCCGCAGGAAGTTCTCAGGCAGAGTGCTTTTAGAAAGGAGAACTTAGGGAAATAAGTTTCTGGTTGAAAATGATTCCCTGAAATATTTGCCTGCTCTCATACTGCTGGAAAGCTTCCATGCACCACCAGGGCAATGCAAGTACCACCGTTGGAAATGACTGCTGTAAAATATGGTTCTTAACATTAGGTTCTCAAAATCCCTTAAAAATTTTGTAGAACTCTATTCTCTTCCCAGAAAATCCATCAATTGCAATGTTGTACTCTCTGTCTTTCCATCTGTCTTTGTCCCTGTCTCTCTCTCTCTCTCTCACATGCACACACTCATACACCCACACACAAAAAGATTTTCATTCACAAATCCCCTGATGCTCGAATATGGACCCTAAGTTAAAAATTATGGCTCAAAAACATTCATTTTCAGAAAGCTCAGAAAAAGTTTCCTTTAGCTCCATCTTGATGTTTCTTAATTATAGTGATTTAAGTATGTTTTTATTTAACAACTTTGTATAGAAAACAACAAAATAAACAGCATTTCATTTGCATTTTTCCCCACTACCCAAGGGGGAGCTAATACCCTAGAGAGCTCATCCCCTGCCCATAACCCCTGAGGATGGATTCTCCACAATTCAGATTTGATTAAACTTGGATTATGGTTCTTGGGTCATTCATTTGATCCTGGGCTTCTTTTTTTTTTTTTTTTTTTTTTTCTAGATTCTCTCTCTCCACAAGAAATGACTGACTTGAATTTATTAACTTGACTCCTTTAATTTCCACTACCCTACCTCCCACTCAACAATTTGAACTTATAAAACAAAATACCAGGGAGAATCACTCACATTTTAAAGAGGTTCTTCACTTTACAGAAAGGTTCACAAGTGTCCTTTAAATTTTTAGCTTGTTTCTCATGAATTTAAAGTATTATTTGCTTTCCGAAACTCAAATGCACTCTATTTTCCAAATATAAAAAACACCAGAGTTCTTAATAGCTTCCCTTCTACTTTTATAGCTTTTATTTTTTGATGTCCTTTCACAAATGTTAAAAATTATCCTCAAAGCAATATGGGAAATAGCACACCAGGTATCCGGATCCCATTTTGTGGTTGAAGAAGCTTAGGTATGGCTACCAGATTCACTCATGGAGATTTGCCATTACCCTCAAATACCCACACCACCTGCTCTCATGGCCTGCTCTGACCCGAGTTGCTGACGCTGTGTGTTCCTTGTGCTGTTGCTAGATGTTGATGAGTGTCTGGAGCAGAGTGTGCGCTGTGGGCCAAATCGCATGTGCTTCAACATGAGAGGAAGCTACCAGTGCATCGATACCCCCTGTCCAGCCAACTACCAGCGGGATCCTGTTTCAGGGTATGTCTTGCCTTCTCGTCTCAGAAATACTTCTGAAAAGCATTCTCTCCTCAACCAACATACTCTGTCTGTAGTCACGTGTAACTCACAGGAAGTCAGTAACCCCAGGGGTATATGGAGTCAGTGAGTGGGTGTGAAATGAGCTCATCCTGCAGCAGCTACTGTAACCTAAACTATCACTGTTGGCTGCCAGGGTTTTCCCGGATCATCTCCCCAGTATGTAATCCGCCATGCCACATCTAGAATTCTGTCTCAGCGGTAAGCATTTTATGGGGTGATAGAACCTGACCTCCTTTGAAATTTCCTAGTTTCCATTTGTGTTGCCTCAGGGTTTTAAGGGCTCTCAGCACTTAGAGCATTCCAAGAAGTACCTTGACTGTAATCGTGATGACTCACCATGACTCCATGAGAGAATGGAGATGAGCAAGGATGAGTCAACAGTCTGCCCGCTCATAGATGGTCTTGCTTATATTCCCTGCTGTCTGAAACACTATCTTTTCTGGGTTCTGAATAAACTGCTCTTCTATTTTCTCCCTCCTCTTACAGAAATGTCATACTCTGTTCAGGTATCAAGTCAATGAGGTACTTGAAAACAGAGATAATGGTCATCATGAATAGGACCTGCTAATAAGAAGGTGGTTCTGAAACCAAGTGCTGGTTGGAGCTCACGCTTTGTTTTTCCTCTCAGCAGTGACTACCAAGTTACTGTAACATGATCAAGTGTGGACTGCCCCAGATCCGGCAAAAACCTGTTCATAATTGCTGTAGGGGGAATAGGAAGGGGAGGAAGAAAATTAAAAATATTGACTTAAGAAACATCCAAAAATACTGACTGAAGAATCCATATCTGCAGAAAATGGTCCTTTGTGCATTTTTCTAAAATTTTACTCTCCCTTACCAGTGATTTCTGGCAATTTAAAAGTCATGATGCCTCAAAAACAGCCAATGTGGGCTCTGAAAAAAGAAAATACAGTATTTTTAATCTAAAATAATATGGAAAACAAATACAAAAGGAAAAGCTTCCCCCCCCCCCCGCCCAGGAATCTTAGTTGACCTTTTATTATTTTTAGGAAAACAAACCAAATATCAATAAATTCTACTTCAGCTTTCAGTCTTAGGGCAGATGTTAAAATTTAAAAATAGCTTGTATTCCTCTCTTTAAAAACTACTTGTTTCCAGTATATGTACAGATACTTCTATTTCCAAAACTAACTTTTCATTTTAGAGACACTCTTGTGGTACTCATACTTACTTCAGTGGTTCAAAAATTTCTGGGGCATCTGGGTGGCTCAGTTGGTTAAGCGTCTGCCTTCGGCTCAGGTCATGATCCCGGGGTCCTGGGATCGAGCCCCACATCTGGCTCCCTGCTCGGCAGGAAGCCTGCTTCTCCCTCTCCCACTCCCCCTGCTTGTGTTCTCTCTCTCTGTCAAATAAATAAATAAAATCTTAAAAAAAAAAAAAAACAACTTCTGATTTTACTGAAACTGAGAGATAGATATTTGACTCTAGACCAGCATACTCTCATAGGCATCTGACATCTGGTTTGAGTTAGTGGCATAGCACATGGGGTGGGCCAATTGCTCTTGTAGTCAGACTGTCTACAGCCTTTAATGCCTAAAAGTTGTCATGGATCATGGTCACCTGCCGCATGCCCTCTCCTGCTTCCAAGCCAGATGACAATATGCACTTCGTGTGTTTTTTTGTCCTTAGGTTCTGCCTCAAGAACTGTCCACCCAATGATTTGGAATGTGCCTTGAGCCCATATGCCTTGGAATACAAACTTGTCTCTCTCCCATTTGGAATAGCTGCCAATCAAGATTTAATCCGGCTGGTAGCATACACGCAGGATGGAGTGATGCATCCCAGGACAACTTTCCTCATGGTAGATGAGGAAGAGACTGTTCCTTTTGCCTTAAGGGATGAAAACCTGAAAGGAGTGGTGTACACAACGCGACCACTGCGAGAACCAGAGACCTACCGCATGAGGGTTCGAGCCTCATCCTACAGTGCCAATGGGACCATTGAGTATCAGACCACATTCATAGTTTATATAGCTGTGTCTGCCTATCCATACTAAGAAGCTCTCCAGAGCCTAATCCACATATTTAAACTGCATTAATCATGGGAATCCAGTCCCCTTCCAGATTACCATCTCCTGAACAGTTGCAATCTTGGCAACTTGAAAATGGTGCTATGCTCTGTTTTGTGTGCCTTCCTTGGTACTGGTGAGGTATTTTCATGATCCCACCATGGTCATATCTTTTGGTAAGGTCTAGAAAGGTCCCTCATTATTTTTCTTTATTTATTACACTGGAGCAGTTATTTTCCAAAGATTATTCTGAACATCTCACAGGAGGACCTAACAGTGATGTTTTAGAGTAGCATAGTAGCTAAGATCATTTTCCTTAAAAGAAAGAAAAAAGAAAACAAAAATAACTCACTCGAAGCCAAGTGAATTTTTGAGCATTTGGCCATTTTTAGAATAAGAAAACTGGTTGCTATGTGTTTTGATCAAAGCTTATTAAGTAACTTATAAAAATGCTCTTTTTTTTTTTAAGTATTGATACTTTATATTGGGACTTCTACACCTATTTTCACCTTAAGGGAAAAGAGAAACACCACTCATTTTAGAAATATAGTACGGCTTCTAGAATGTTTCTTTGATACCAAATAGTGTTCACGTGGACTGAGCATCCAAAATAAGGATATTATTTTCAGTGATTTTGTGAAATGAGCTGAACCAGATAATAGAAAATAGAAATAGATAATAGAAAAAAAAATATTGCTTCATCCTCAGATAATTGTTCATGGCATGGATCTTTGATATAACCTTCCTTCCAGTTAGCTCCATAACTTGTACATTCCAGCATTTTATTTTCCAGTCAAGTGGAAACAACTTTTACAAATACCAATGGGACAGTTTTCTTTGTTTTTCTTAAAAATCTTATATGTTCAAATTAGCATAAATGTTGAACGTCAATACACTGTACATGGTGGTAACAGACTCTGGAAGCGATTGCCAAGATGTATTCTATTTTTATGAAATGTATATATATTACCTTGGTGTATTTTCTATATGATATCTTGATGGACTCTTTTATAAAATTATTTTGTAAAACAAAAAACAATGTTACAGTCAAACCAGCCTGAATAAAATTTTCACATCCCTTTTCTTAACCTTTTTGAAAGCTTAAAATTTGTTTCCTTATAGCTATCCTAGGTGTTAAGGCTTATAGTCACACATACACACATCTATCTGTGTATCTGATACATAGCCTGACTGAAACAGATTTTAAATGGATTCTCTGAACTGGATCTGAGTTAACTTTAATTGGCTCTGTGACACAGTCACATTTAATGGAATTCATAACCCGTCTCAAGTGGTAAAGTGAACTCTGATTGTTCATGGGATGCGGTGCCAAAACAGTGCTTAAATTCTCACCAGTAGGCATTTCCAATCAAGAAATGGTTGCTTGCTCGTAGGTACACTAGAGAACGTGGAGAAAGAAAATAATGAGTTGAGGGCTTTAAATTCTCAACTGAAGTTCTGCAAAAAGGGTATCAAGTGAATGATGATCTGAAGGAAACCCTTATTTCCTAGAACTGCAGCACCAAGTTTTCTGAAAACCAAACCAAAGGTCTAATTCCAACAGTGGCTGGATTACAATACAAATTTAGTTCCTAATCTCACAGGTTCTCTTGTGTTAAAGTTAGAGCACTGATTGAAAAGGAAGTATGATGGGGCACCTTGGTGGCTCAGTCGGTTAAGCGTCTGCCTTCCGCTCAGGTCATGATCCCAGGGTCCTGGGATCGAGTCCCGCATCCGGCTCCCTGCTCAGCGGGAGTCTGCTTCTCCCTCTGACCCTCCTCCCTCTCATGTGCTCTCTCTCATTCTCTCTCTTTCAAATAAATAAATAAAATCTTAAAAAAAAAAAAGAAAGAAAAGGAAGTATGACCTCACAACTTGGGATAGAGACATAGGAGCAGATTTTGACGAAGCTGGAAACCTTCAACTCCAAATGATATGTTTTCTCTGCCAACAGGAACAGCCCTTCCTCTCTGTCGGAGGAAGTTAGTCTTGTCTAAACAACCTATAACGGCCTCTTCTGAAGCCCTCGCAAGAGATTCTGAGCCTTCTCAGGACCAACCCTTCTTACTTTTCATTGCTTCTAGACCTATGACCAGATTTATGTCTTTAGAATTCAATAACAAAACAAAAAAAAATGAAGATTGTAATTTGGGGTTTTTTATAATTCATATTTACTATATTTTTTAAAGTTATCATCTACAACAGATTTTTTTTAAATCTAGTCCTTTACCACAGTAGTCTGAGAAACACTGCAAGATACCAAGAACAAAAACTATAACCTACTGTTTACAGAGAAAAATGTTGAAGTTCAAAGAAATTAAATAACTCGCTGCAAAGTCAATCACTGGTGGGGAATGGAGAGCTGGGTTTGGATCCAGGTCCACTAACTACAAAGCCATAACACTTGTCAATATTTTCAATAAGGAAACTCCTCTCAGCTTCTTCAGAAACATCTGCTTACATCCAAGCATTATAATTACAGCGTGAACATGAACCACAACTCCCTGGGTTGCTGCTTTGACAAAATATCTTCACATCTACCACTAAACTGGGATCTCGTCTCTGGACATCAGTGTACCTGCAGTTATCATTCATCCTTGAAAATCATCAATGGGAATTCAGCTATTAGCATTCCAGGGTTCTGACTTGACATTTAAGTAATACCAGTTGACCTCCCCCCATGAACCATAAATGAGATTTAATGCCACTTTAAAAATTTAGCACTATACTTTTCCTGCCCTGGAGATTGAGGTTTTAAAATCATGATTAGGTCAACTAAAATCAAAAAGACTGAAAATTCAACTAGTTATTTATCTGAAAGTTCTCAAGAACCGAAATATTTTCTCACAATATACAAGGATGACTGACAGATTGGCTAAATTTATATAAAATAGGCCCAAAGTTTATAATTAAATTCAAAGCTGTCCATAGAAATCATTCATATATTTATTTATTCATGCAAAAGTTATATGTTGCTGGGGCGCCTGGGTGGCTCAGTCAGTTAAGCGTCTGCCTTTGGCTCAGGTCATGATCCCAGGGTCCTGGGATCCAATCCCGCATTGGGCTCCCCACTCAGCGGGAGCCTGCTTTTCCCTCTGCCCCTCCCCTACTCATGCTCTCTCTCTCAAATAAATAAAGTCTTAAAAAAAAACAAAACCCAAAAGGTATATGTCAAATGCTTATTATGTACTGGGCTTGCTGATAAACGTTTGGAATACAGAAAATTCGAAGATACATATAGCCCAGTGAGAATTCACATGTAAAAATGAACTATAATTCAGGGCACCTAGGTGGGGCTCCGTTGTTAAGTGTCTGCCTTCTGCTCAGGTCATGATCCCAGGGTCCTGGGATCGAGCCCTGCATTGTGCTCCCTGCTCCTCGGGAAGCCTGCTTCTCCCTCTCCCACTCCCCCTGCTTGTGTTCCCTCTCTCTCTGTGTCTCTCTCTGTCAAATAAATAAAATCTTAAAAAAAAAAAACCTATAATTCAATATAATAAAATTCTGCCCAAAGTGCAATTGGCCCTAGACAACCAGTCATTTATTTTCTGTCTCTATAGATTTACCTTTTCTAGGTTGTTCATATAAATGGAATTATATAATATGTGGTCTTTTACATTTGGCTCTTTCCACTTAGCAATATCTTCTTGAGGTTCATCCATATTACCAGTATTCCATTCCTCTTTATTGCTGAATAGTATTCCATTGTGTGAATGCACCACTTTTATTTATCTATTCATCAGTTTCCAGTTAGGGACTATTATGAATCATAATGCTGTGAGAATTTACATGTACGCCTTTGTGTGGACATAGGTTTGCATTTCCCTTGCATAGATACCTTGGATTCCCAAGAACCTAGTAATTTTACACCTGGGGGTCTATTCAAGAGATATCCACATAAGACTTAGATGTAAATTTATGTTTAAATTTGAAAGAAATTGTCAGGCTATTTTTCAAAGTGATTGTACTATTTATATTCTCGTTAGTAATATATGAGGATTCTAATTTCTCCATCTCCTCACCAACACACATTATTATCTATTCTAATGAGCATTCTAATTTGCATTTCCCTACTGACTAATGATGTTGAGTTGTTTTTTTTTTTTTTCATGAGCTCATTGACCATCTGGATATCTTTTTTGGCAAGATATCTGTTCAAATATGTTACCCATTTTGAATTGGGTTATTTGCCTTCTTATTGTTGTGTTGTATGAGTTTTTTATATGTTCTAGATACAAGTTCTTTGTCAGATATCTTATTTCCAAATATTTTTCCCAGTCTGTGGCTTATCTTTTCATTTTCTTA